GGGGGTTCAGTGAGGAGTATGACTGGGGTAGTGTTGAGGAAATATGATATCAGTTGGCAGTACTGATCATAAACGTACAATAAATTAAACTAAAAATTCACAGACAGATAAATACATGAACACACTAATGCATAGACATATATAACAAGATTGAGGAAAACAGAAGATAGTGAATTTTTGAAGATTGTAGGTGACAGGGAAGTAAGAAACTGGAAGAGAAAAGAACAGAACTTACAATTACATTTAGTTATTTCAACAGTAAAATGGTGAGACCTAGTTGTTAATCTAGTAGTACACTTAAATTCATACAATTGAGGTACCAAGGAGGAGAGCTCAGTAGAACAACTGCCATGAAAATATTTATAGAACAGACAGAGGGAAGCCATGTCATATCAGTGGGAAAGTTGTTGATATCCTAGGTCAAGAGCCTTCTTTGAATTTTGTCAAGAATCTTGAGATATATAGCTGGAGCAAGAAGGAAAAATGAGTTGCTCTCCTGGAGGTTAGCATCAGTCTGTTGCTAGAAGGCAAAAAAAGGTTCTCTATGGTTATTAAATGAAAACAATTTTGTTTTGAAGGTGTTAAAATTTACATGCTATTTTTCATTCCAGTTAACCACTGTTTGTAGATCCTTTTCCAGAGCAGATTCCAGGATCTTGTTACTAACACAATATTTGTGTCATCTGCATAAATATCTAGTTGATATCTGATGATATCAGGAAGGTAATTGACGAAAAGTTTGTTCTGTAGTGTTTCTGTCTTGTCACAATTGTAGACACTGAGGTGGCAACAGTCTGTTTCATGTTTGAATGCAATCTTCAGTCAATCTTTTTTTCTCTCTCCATATATACATATATATATATATATGACATGTATTGAATAGTAAGTTTGTTCATCACTGGGTGCTCCATAATTTCAACCTTGTACCACATCTAAGCTATGCTTAGTAAATCACTATATATATATATATATATATATATAAAACAGAAGGAACTTTTTATAAAAAGCAAGACAAAGTCACACACAAACAATATTTTTAGTGGATGAGGTGATGTTCTTTGCACTTAATGCAAAACATAGCTCATGTTACTAGGTTTATATAGAGTGCTTGATAGCTTTCCTGCAACATTGGCTTCACACAAAAAATTGCAAAAAAAATGTGAAAAAAATCAGGTTTTTTGTAATACTTAAAATAAAAACTTGAATAACTTCCTCATTTTTTATCCAGTTTTCTTCAAACATGTTACAAAAAATTTGTCATCATGCAAGAAATAAGATTGTATGGTTTTAGTCCTGCTCATTTCCTTGCATTATAAAGAAGAACCATGAAAAACTGTTCAAAAAGCCTGTTTTTCAGACATGACTCCCTAGTTTTCCATCTGATGCTTTCCAAATTTGCCAAGTAAATTACATATGATACACAAATTGTCTTTGGTTTAGATTATTTCAGTTAAGTGGACAAAATCTGCAACAAACTAGGTCCCAAATTGGCTTTTGCAATTTAGCCAATAGTTTCTTCCTATGATTCCATCCTAAATGCACAAAGAAGGAGGGGGGCATTCATGCATTTGCACTTATAGTTGAATCCAGCTCTGATGCTTCATATCTGTTTTTGTTTGTATTATTAGATCTGTGCCATACTATTGGAAGTTATTACAGCTAGTATATAAATATATATATATATATATATATATAAAGAAATATAGTCTTAAGGTGTGCTATATTTATGGGATAAAGTGCACAATATCAGAGATAGAGCATGTGTAAATATAAAAGTGAACATAGAAGTCAACATTTAGAGGCGACAGTCTGTTTCATGCTATATGCAATCGTCAGGCCACATGTGCTGTTATTTTTCTCGGCTATTTATATACATACGGGTCAGTGGTGCATTGTGGGTAGTCTATTATGGCGGTTATTTTACCAAAAGTCGTTTATCTATTTATTTGGGTTAAATTATTTTGCTTGTTTTTATTTATTTTTATTTTTTATTTCTTATTTATTTATTTAATTAATTATTTATTTTTTTAATTGGTGTTTTTATTAACGTAGTAAAAGTTTGTTTATATCACTTATTTAATAGTTTTGTTTTGGTTTGAGAATTTAATTAAAGCTATTTGTTTGGTTTTTGGGGTTGATTGTTGTAGTTTATTCTAACTATTATTTTGGCAGGAACAGTTTTTTTTAATTTGTGTTTATTTGGGTTGATTATTATCTTTATTTTTTTCTAATGGTAACTTTATCGGGATTGTTTTTGTTTATTTATTTATTTGGATGAATTTAGGTCAATTTATTTTACTTGTATTTTTTCTTTTCAGTTTTCGATTTTTTAAGTTTATTTTATTTATTTATTTTTTTTTTTTTTTTTTTTATTCATTTTTTTTTTTTTCGTTATATAACAGTTATAGCTATTTTTTCGTCAGATTTTTTGGTTTGATTTTTTAGTCTAACTAATATTTTGGTCATAATGGTTTTACTTTGTTTATTATTTACTTTATTTATTTGGGTTCATTGTTTTTTTTGTTTTGTTTTTTTTTTTTTTTTTTTATTATTATTATTATTATTCTATTTTGTCTATTCTAACAGGTGTGATTTGGTAATTTGTTTAAATTAATTAATTTTGCTTATTTTATTGTTATTTTGTTATTTTGTTTATTTATTTTTGTTTTTTTTTTTTTTTTTTCCGTTTTCAATTTTTAAGTAACGTAGTAAAAATTTGTTTTCATGTCTGCATTTTGAGATGAGCTCGGATCTTTTATTTAATAATTTATTTTGGTCTGGGAAAGTAATGATAGCTATTTTTTCCTCCAAGCAAAGTTTTCAAGTTTTTTGATTGGTTGTTGTAGGCTGATGATCTTTTTCCTTATTTTCCAAGATATATTTTTTTGGTGTGATGTGCGTTTTGTTTTTAATTTCCCAGATATACTTAGAAAGCATTGTACTGTTTACATATTTACTATTTGTGAAAGATGTTTTTGTGTGTATAATTTCTTTGTTTCAGGGTCCTTCAGTTACTCCTATGTATACTTTTTTTTTCTTCATTATCTGGTGATTTTATCGTGGCTTGGTATATTACGTTGTTTTGTAAACAATTTCCGTTTAAGGGACATTCGTTCTTTATTCTGCAGTTGCACGTGGGTTTAATTTGTTCGTGTGGTTTGTTGATAATTTTCCTGTTGTTTTTTTTATTATTTGTGCCATGTTCTCGGTGCAGCTGTAGCTGATTTTTACTGTGTTTTTGTTGAATATTTTTGTAGGGTGCTTGATTCTGGGAAGTGTTTGTGTAAGAGTTTGAAGAATATTTTTCCTACGTTTGTTTTTACGTTTTTTTTTGCTGTACGGTGGGTTGAACCATATGATATTTCTTCTCCTGTTGGCCTTTTTTGTGTTCTGTGGTGAGTATGTGAGTGTTGCTGGGAATCCGCTATCTTTTAGGGCTGTTTCATAGTCTTTCTTAGCTTTGTTAAATATGGATTCATTGGAGGAATTGTCGGAAAGCCTGCGGTTAATCGATTTTGGTATCTGTTTGATTATAGAAGGCGGGTGGTTGGAAGATGTGTGTATGTAGAGTGGTTTATCATTAGGTTTTCTATATGGTTTATATGTGCCTTTTCTTAGGTTGAAGGTAACATCTAGAAAATCTACTTCGTTTAGGTTAGTTTTTATATCTATGTCAAATCCGTTATTTTTAAAAATCTTTATTATTGCTTTTCTAGTTTTGTCTGTGTTTTGTTTGTTACAGTTTCTTAAGATTATGAGACCGTCATCCCTGTAGAGTCCTGTGTCATTTTTATCTATTATTTTGCTCAGTTCGTGTAGTAAGTAAATACCTATGATTTCGCATGTCCCCGCACTGTCAAAGCTTCCCATTTTAGTGTCAAATATCCCATCTTTCTTTATCCATGCTTCTTCATTGTGGAATAATAATGACTTACAGGAGTGCTTAATGATATTGATTTCGCTTGGTTTTATTATTATTTGTTCCTGAGCTAAGTTGATGGCCTTATCTAACATGCTTTCTGTTATGGATGGGTAAAATTCTTTTATGTCTAATTGTAGGAATTGGCTGTTTTGTTTGTTATTTATACTGTGGAACCAGTCAATAGTCATTTTGTATTTTTCCACTGGTTTACTCCTAACTTCTTTCTAAGTTCAGAATTAATTCTTTCTAGTATTGTTTTATTTATTTTACCTAGATCGCTTTTGGCTGGGTTTATGAGTCTGCATGCAGGGTTGGTTTTGAAATTTTCTTTGTGGTCTTTTAGTGTGCCTTGCCTAATACAACTTATTTGGTCATCTAGGTCTAATTTTTGGGCGATTGTTTTAGCTTCCTTATTGATATCATGTTCTATTGTTTTGGGTGCCTTTTTGTATGTTTTGGTTATGTTGTTCTTGAGTAATTTGTTGTGCGTAGGAGGGCTTAGCTTGTATAAATTTCTCGTTTTGTCAGCAGCGATAAATACTTTTGCCGAGTTGTTTATTTTAGTTATATCTTCTTTTAGTTTTTTTTAGAATGCACCTTGTTTTTTATGGAATTTTATATTTCTAACTAGGTCAGTTAAGTCTTTCTCGAAGTCGTCTAATTCTTTTTGTTGTGGGGGGCATTTTTTTGTTTTGAAGCCGTATTTTTCCTTTAGTATTTTCCTATATATATACATATATATATATATATATGAATGAGTGTATGCATGCACGTATGCATATCTTTAAATCTTTGTGAATATTATTTATGGTTCTTATCTGAAAGTTAATCAAACACTTTAATAACAGAGAATAAATGTTAAATTTAGAAAGAAAAGCATTTGTTTTATTTTCTCTGTTCAAAAGACAGAAAAATGCAGAGGTATACACTATATACATTTTTTTAAAAGAAAATTTCAGCACACTTACAATCGTTGATGCTGATTATAACATTCACAGATTTTGATTTTCACACTGAAATCATATTTGACTATTCTAATATATTTGGATGCCAGTGAGAATAAACAAAAGACACTTACATTGACAGGAAACTGTTTCCTGGATTGAGTAATTGCTTCTCTCATCAAAAGTCGTGCAGTTAAATGTAGTTCCATAGGCCATACCTTTTAACTCCACAGTGTAAGATTTCAAGGCATTATTCTGACAATCGTGAACCACATTTTCTAAATTCATCTTTTTCTAAAAATAAAAAGTTTTAAAAAGTATCTTTACATTACATAAATGGAGAAACATACATTAGACATTTTAATTGGTTATCTGATGTAATTACAAAGGCAAAATATGAAACATTATTTATTTTGATTTTTTTTTTACAGAAAATACTGTTACATAAATTAATACTGAATAATGTATTTTTATAGCAAGGAATGGTATTTGAAGTTGACCTCTTGTCATGTTCAAATGTTAAATATAGAAAAATTATTAAGCCATATTCTTTGTATTTTCTGCTGTTATATATCCCAATATTTTACAGCCAATACCTAAAGCCTAGAAAGTGAATTAAAAATGACATGAATTCAGAACACTGATTTGGGAAAAGCTTTCAACTTGTATCTTACAGCATAAGAGTTTGCAATGCAATTTGATAACACCTATACTATCAGATTATCAGGTCCCTCTGTGAGTGCTATGGTACAATCTGCTGCATGGTTGGTTCAAAGTCGACTAAACCTGCTCTTAACTACCAGGTGTAATGCTTTTCTGGTGAAGAGGATGGCTAGACATCCAGAATTTAAAACAAAACCTATCAAATGGCAGATGAATCTTCTTACAGGGTCAATGTCAATCAAGCAAAATAGTATAGACTGGGCTCCACTGTATTGCTAAGTGGAGAGCTTCCTAGACTGAAGTCAACTATCAGGGTGGAGAGTTCCCTTAATGGGATCAATAGCCATGTGTCTGTGACTAAGGCAAGCCTACAAATTGGATGATATCAGCTCTGGTTTCACCTGGAGAAGGATGGACTGAACCAGGTCTATTTGCCCAAGACATGCTACACATGAATGAACAAAACAAACATATGAAGGAAACTGATCAGTTGTGCAGCAACTATTACCACACCCATTCATGGGACTACTGATAATGATGATGATGATGCCGCTGCCATCATATGTAATGGTATATTAGATAAATCATTTAATATTTAATGAAAAGCATCAAAATCTCTTGCATAAATATAACTCTGACATAAAAACAGGAAAATATACCAGATAAAACCTTTTTCTTAAACTCTTTTTCAATATCAGAGAAAGTTAATTGAGAAATAGATGTAAAAATTTCTTTTACTCTTAAGAAATAGGAAAGAAAAACAGAAATAATAACCTTTACAAATTTGGTTGCTTACACTTTTGCATAATTCAGCTCTTCAAGAATTATTATTAATCTTATTTCAATTACTTTAATAGTTTACAAAATTAGTCATATATTTTTTAAGTTTATTGGATATTTCAGTTTTTAAAGTAATTGGAAAAATTGCTTTATCATGAAAATACCAGGTGTAATTTTGCTAAGCTATCTCTAATAATTTGTCCTGCATTAACTTTTGAATCATTATTCTAAAAAGCCTATCAAGTTCAAGTCAGTGATTTAGTGTTTTTGCTAATGGTCATTTAACTATTTCAAGTCTGGAAGATTAAATATCATCCTACTTTTGATGTGATGATATTTTCAGGGTCTATCATTTTGAAGACCACCTTTTTATCTCCATATATCAAAGGAGTATAGAGGTTTAGATTTTGTTTCATTATTTTGTTTACTACACAGTCTGGTAAGTAGTTCAAAGTTAAAAAAAAAAAAGATGTACTTTAGAATTAATCAAAGACATCAATTGTCTGAAATTATAAGATGAAGAATATTCATTGTTCTATAAAGTACTTTGACTATTATCCTATTCTTTGTTGTCTTTATTACGGTGTTTTAATTGATATGTATTCAGTCATTTTAAGGTTTATGTTGCATTTAGTAATGCTTGGATCAGTGACAAAAAATAGTGGGTAACTTTCAAGAATTACTGACATACCAAAAATCATGAGACAGGTGTTTAGTATCCTGAAATGGCATTGATTCCACAAGTGATTGGGATGGATGTGTGGTGGTGTAATGAATAAATTGGAGAGCTGAATTTGAATTCCAGCTGGGTTTGTTGCATTCACTTACATCCAAATACTCATGAGAAAAGGTATTAATCCATCTCTTCCTACCAATTATGGGTTAAATAGTATAGGTTATCTGGCTGGAAAAATCATTGTTGTTCTCAAAAAATTGTTATTGCAATAAAAAAATATTCTTTACAATCTAAAATATGTTTTGGCTTTAAATAACACACAAAGGATTGATAAGCCATAAAAATTAATCAATCAATCCTAGTGGTTGGGATATTTCTCAAGAGACAGAGAGCCATGCTGTTTATAGCTTTCTTCATATTTTCTGGTGCACAATGTGATATACAAATAGATCTCTCCATCATGTCCCATAAATGCTTGATTGGCTCATATCAGGAGAGTGTAGCTTCCACACCATTTGTCAGAAGTTTCCAGAATGCTTCTGAAACCTATTTAGGCAAGATGACATGGTCCATTATTTTGCTGGAATAACACATTTTTGTTAAGCTCTATGAAGTCCATGAATGGGTTTTAATGGCCACAAATCAGTGCAAAATAGTGGCAACTGGTCAATGACATGTTTAGATGGAACTGACCCATACCATATGAACACACCCAACAACATTATGTAACCACCTTGTTGATAAATGGGGTCCATAGCCTTGAGAAATCTACCCCAGCACCTCAAAACAGCTAGAACCATGACACATTGGACCAGGCCAAATTTTGCCAGTCTGCCACAGCCCAATTAGAGAAATCGTTACCTCCTAGATGGGATGCTGTGCTCAGTGTAATGTTCTTTGAATCACAAATCTCATGGAAGCTAAAGAACAATGAACAGACCTGCTGAATGTGGCTTTGGTACCACCTGCACTGAATGTGGATGTGATTTGAGCCAATGTTGCTTGTCTAGTTACTCTGATGATGATCATTGAAAAAAGAACAATGAACTGACCTGCTGGATATGCCTTTGGAACCTCCTTCATCGAATGTAGATGTGATTCAAGTCAATGTTGCTTTTCCAGTTACTGCAAAGAATTCTAGTCAGATGCCTCTGGTCATGATCATTCAAGACCTGTGATCAGCCACTGTGCTGTTCATGCTGGGCAGTTGTACTTCTATCAGATATTCCTAGTACACATGTGACACAAGGGATGTCAAATGTCTACAGTTTCAGAAATGGATTATTTCATCTGTCTGGATCCCATCATATCTCATTTGATAATTCACATCACTTTGCCATGAGCAGCCTAGCTGTTGTTTACACAGACTCATTAGATAGCAAACTACAACTGTGTGACTTATGTTAATGTACAGTGGCACCACCTATCATTATACCTATATACTGTTCTCCTGCAACTTTTGGCACTCTAGTGTAATATACACCCAAGAAAACTGAAGAATATATTGGCTAAAATGGTGAGATAAAAACACGAGAGATGATGAAAGCCATCTGAATAATTCATGGAATAAAAACCTTCAGTGTTGGGCATATTTTTAAGTATTGATAAAAAAAATTGTAATTCAAAAGGTGTTTTTTATTGTAATAAAAAGTTAATTTTCACCACCCAAGTTCTTCTCACAGTATATAAATTAGACAATTCACACAGTTATCATGAATTATAAACATTGGTAAATAAATTAAACTGTAAATTCAAAAGTTTTACTGAGATTTTAGTTACTTTTATCATGTTGGGGTGGAAGAAAGAAAAAATAATTTTGCAGGAAAAAGATATATTTACTTTAATATAAATACAAAATTAATACCTGTTCCATAATTGTCTTTATATTTAGGGCATGTAATTTGTTACAAAATAGTTGTTACATTTAAAAATAAGAAATTGATGTAATGAATATGCATACACCTGGGTTCCCCCTCACAGTAATATGATTGGCTGGTGTCAGCCATAAATACAGACTGATGTGGAGGTACAGGGACGATGCCTAATGACGATGCCTATTGGTCTACGCCTATTGCCTACCACTAAGACGAGGACCAGTCCATTATGGTTACCTGCTGGATTGTCCAACTTGGTTACAGTAGCCCAAAACCACTTTGCTACTTCAAACAAATATATCCCTTTCTGGGACATATCAGAAATAAAGAATAAAATATAAACTTGATGAAAATGAAACAGTTTATTTATTAAGTGCTTGAAATATTTAATTTTTTGAGAAGCATTTAAATAATTTCCTTTAAATTTAAGCATATTTTGTCATTTAAAAAAGTGTTACATTTAATGCTATTTGGTAACTGATTTTCATTTCAATACCCAAATTTCTATTTGAGAGCATAGTATCCTCCATACATGTGTTTATAATTTTCCATCTATGATTGGTATTATCTGCTAAAATATTTATATATACAACAGGTGCACTTTTGAAAATTTCAATTTCAGCTCACCTTTGAATAGTTCACTTTAAGATATTATTTAAAAAAAATAATATTTCAGGTTTAAATGTAACAACATGAAATTGTTAGGATATGTAAACATAATGTTCAATAAACCAATAATCAAAAGAAAAATATGCAAATGCAAAACCTATTACAGGACAGAGGTAGCATAATATACTTACTTTTATAAGAACTATAATATTACTTACTTTTATCAATAAAAAGATACAATATATATTGTGTTGTCTTCTAGTCTATGACAGAAATTCTACCCTTCTACCGAGTGACAACTGACTTATTAGAAGTTGCTTGACTTTATACAAAATAGGGCAAGTCCATTTTACCTACATAACTACAATATACTTACACTGTTATTAATACATGTGAAATTGATTTTATACATGGTGCAGGAGCTTTCAATTCTGTAAATGCAGTTTGGTAAATACTTCATTTTGAGTTCAAATTTTGGTAAACCTGAAAGTTAAAATAAAAACAATAAAAGGTGTCCTTTTTGTGTTTTCTTAAATTATAAAGAATTTTCTGTATATCTTGTTGGTAGCAATTACCCAACAATAAAAAAGAAAAAAAAGAGGGAAAATTGGTACCAATAGGATTTACTAGTTAATTTTCTTTCAATACAACTATTTTCTGTTATTCATATGATCATTAACTTCAAATTCTTTTATTCAATTATGTTATGAATAGGGTCCAATTTATTTAACCATTTTCAATCAACAAGAATTACTCTGCCAATTAAATTTAGGTTAGTATCTTAATATTGATATCTCACAAATCTTATACAAATGTGCCTACCTTTAAGAAAGATTGGACAGAATTATATCCTTTATTAAAAATAAGTAAATGCATGAACCACATTGTCATCTAATGACATTTGTGCTACTGCCATTTTATGGCTAAATCTTTTACTGAAATAATCCACAAATGACCGTAATCCTAGTCTTTAAATTCCGCTGCTATCTATTTCTTTAACTTTAATTCCTTATTCCAGTGAGAGAAGCCATCTGGTATATGTATTAATCTTGACATGAAAAAAGAGAGTTGAAAAGGGGATCATTATTATTGCTTATTCAAACTGTTGACGTCAGACATAGCATCTCGAAAATGAGCATCTGGTGATAAGAGAATTTTAAGGCATGAGAAAAATAAAGAATTTGACCACCCAGTTAAAAGTTGACTAGTGGAGAAGCCAAATGTCGGGTGTCGACAACGATTAATGAGTAGATAGAGGCCCAGGCTAAGTGGATTTGGGTGTCCCCAAAATGTGATAAAGAATTATTCGGCAATCTGGGATTTGTAAATGTTTTGGCCAAAGGAAAAGGAAAAAGAAAAAAAAAAGGATTTTGTAAACATGAGGGCCAGTCTAGCCACACCCATGCTGCCGAGAGATCATTGGCGAACTGGTAGCATGAGTGATAGGCGGAGGTGAATGTATGAGAAAGACAGAGAAGTTGTTAACACCCACTGAGGGGATTGGTATGAGATACCAATGTGAGAGAGAAAGAGTCTTGGAGGATAACTCTCCTCTGACCTTCCCTCACGGACAAGGAAGAAACCCCCAAAATGGAAAGTGATTAGTCTTCCAAAAATGGGAAGTAATTAATTTTCTTGGCCTAAGAACAAAGAGAATTCCTGTTGGGAATTGAGAATTGTCAAAGAACCCAAACCACGACAGGACTCCACCCCGGAGTTGGTCAGTGTCCATATAAACAAACGTCTCAAGGCAGCTGATCAGTTTCAGCAGAGTTTCAGGTAGTTTGGAGTTTCAGACAATTCGAATTTGGAGTTAGTTTGAGAGTATTGCGTCGTAGAAGCTGACCGAAAGATTTCCACATCCTTTTCGACTTATTCTTCCTACCAAAAGCAAGTTTTTATTGACAAACGACTTAAGATACCATAAATCGCTTAAGAAACACAAAAAGTGTCACGAATCCATAGAAATGAGCTGGGAAGGAAACACACTCCTGTATTCAACAGATAAAGATAATTGTTATTTCTCAACATATTTGAACCTCTTGAATTTGTTTTATTTGTTCTTTTACTTATGCTTGTGCGATATCACCTTTACGCCAGATTCAGCTTGCACTACGGCTCGATGCCTGATTGATTTTGTCTACCTAAGATCAAAGTCACAACATTGGTAGGTTAGACTTGAGATCAAAGCAGTTACTTCGGTAACCAGATGTTGGAGGTGAGTTGGGAACGACAAGTTGGTATCGAACCGGGAATGACCAGATCAACCGGGACACAAGCTGGTGGCAGCGACAACCCCAAACGCTGGTGGAAGGAGCCTTACAGCTTCACACTGCAACTGGGAGTTGACCATGGGGCTGACAGCGCAATGGCATATATTGACGTCGCAACCAGTGGATGTCACATACTGGTGCTGGACTGCGACCACGACCACTAGTGGGTGTCACATAAATATGAGATTTCTAGTCACTGGTATATAATATAATCAGCAAAACAAGATAACCAAAAACCTCACTTATAAAAAGAACAGGTTTTATTTTATGTTAAACAAATACAACAATATACACGTCCTTCCCTAACATGGAGATAATGACTAACGGACTTACCCAAATGGTAGAACAGAGGAAAACTGGTTTCTCAGAGATCTAGTCTCATGGCTGCTGTCACAGATCAAGTCTGGACTCAAAATACCACACATGTGTCGCTCGGTGAGGCCTGCTGAAAGAGGGAGCTTCCACGTGCTACACTTTTTGTATGGTTATGTACTGTTCAATTTTTTAATTTTATCATGTAGACACACATGCTAAGGGAGCTGAGGAAGTTATTGAAATGTCTAAATATATAAAAAAAATAAACTAAACTATTAGTTAAAACCTAGACATTTTAAACTATCTACTGTAAACATTTTAAAACATTTGTGCAATATTCATCATCAATTTTATTAAGGGTTGGATTCAATTTTTTTAATATAGATAACTCCTAGAATACCTCCAATTAAAATTAAACCTAGTATATTACAGAAACTACTGTTAACTTGCACTAATAAAGTCCCATTCTACAACCACAAAAATATCATATATGTACGTGATCGTGTTTCTATAGGTTCAGTTCTGAGTCCAACTTTTAGTAATTTCTATATGTCTAGTTTTAAAAATAATATATCTAATAAATTTAAAAACCATCCATCTAAGTTTTCTTGATGATATCCTTATAATAATCAAGAATATGGATGAAATATATCAACTCCAAAAACAATTCTAAAATAATTCTGTCCTTAAATTTACATAAAAACTTAATAATAGTAATAAATTCCTTTTCTAGATATATTGATAAATACTAATAATAAATTCACTATCTCCCCATATAAAAAAACCTACTACCATAAATTTATGCATTCTTAACTATAAGAGTGAATGTCCAAATTACTATAAAATAGCAATTATAAAAAACCTAATAAACCATGCAAAAATTAACTCATTCACAAAACAGATTTTCTAGAGTGAACTAAAAAATATAAAAAAATTTCTTAATAACTTCCCAAATTATATTGTTGATGAACAAATAAAATGTTCTATTAGAAATTTTAATATAAAGCAAATTGAATATAATACGTCTTCAATTAACCATAAAATGTTAATCTTTTATATTGCAATCATGTACCTTCTAATTATAAACAAGACAAAAATGTCCTAAAAAATCTAATAAATACTAATATATCCACCAAAGATCCTAATAAAAAATAAAATTAATTACATACTTTACTAAATTCAATATATCCAATTTAATCGTTCATAATGACTCCTCCCCACCAACTAACCTGTTGCATAAAATCAACATGATCAATATGATATATATATATATTTATATCATATTGATCATGATATATATATATATATATATATATATATATATATATATATATATATATATATATATTGATCATGCTGATATATATATGTAGGCATATTAATGATGGGTAGATGACTAGAACCTGAAAGCTGAGAATTTCCACATAAGGTTTTTACATGTCTGGTTGAAAAAACATTCACACTTATATTGAACACAAAAAAAAAATAGAAAAACTTATAATTTAATTTTCCATTTTTTAAAAATTTTGTTAGAAACAAATTCTTCTCAGTTTGATCTATTTTAGCTGGTAAATTTATAATAGTTCTTAGTAAGTGGTAAACACTTCAAATACCTCAGCATATCAATCAGTTATAAAAAAAAATTATTATGAGGAAATTAAACACAGAATAAGTTGTGCTAGAAGTAGTTTTGCCCAACACTGCAAATTGCTACAAAACCAAGAACAACAAGCTGAAAACACAAGTCATGTTCTTAAATAGCCTCAAGATTGCAACTTTAAAATGGATATCATGCATGGTACCAAACTCAATCAGAAATATCTAAACTGCTACCTACTTTCGAAGATCAATGGTTAAAAGTGACTTTGAGTGAGTGAAGCCTGAGGGTCTTGGCAAAACCATCTTTCTTTGAACAATGTGAACTCTGATGATACACAATCAGAAACAAAGAACTGTATCAAATAACAGAAACCACATCACTTGTGGACTACCAACTGCAGCACTGACTAAAATGTATGTGTAACTCGAAGAGAAAATAATGATATAATCAAGATGTTGATATTGTACACTATTTCAAATAAAAGGTTAAGGACCCCCCCTCCCCCCACCATCAATACGGGAAGGAGCAATAATAACTATTGGACTTGAGAAACCTATTTTCTGAAAAAATTGTTTTAAGAGAAATATTTTATAAATTTCAACTGACATTTGTACTCATTGCTTATTCAATGAATGCCAAATGTTTCCTTATAGGGAAACAGCTAATATTATCATTACCATTTGCATATAAAAATTTTAAAAGAGTTACTTGCTGCATACTATTTTCTTTACAAGTAGAAAAAATGAATTCAGAGTTTCTGCATTGAAGATCATAGGAATAACAATTGTGAGGAAACTTATGGATATTGCTGACAAAATAGAGTCATAATCATTAAATAGTTGTAATATTGAAATTTTAATTAAAAACTTTTTGCCAATACAGATGAGATCTTTTCAAGCAATAAAAAACAAAAACAAACAAACAAAATACAAGACATGGATTTTTATCTGGAGAACAAAAATGAATTTTTAAAAATTACTTAGATCTTTATTAAGGGCTTATATTTTGAAATAAAACAACTGGGTCTCATGATGAATTCACCATGATAAAGAAGCAAAAGTTGAAGTGGTGCAAATACATCATCTATTTATTTTCATTTTTCAGAGCACTATACTTTGAGACAGGAAAGAAAGCAAACAACAAAGAGAACAGAGAGCTGCAAGGGAGAGAAATGAATGAAGCGACATGTTCCACCAGAAGTCATCTACAGTCTCCCAGTAACCATCCACTCACTTAATGGAATAAGTAAAGTTATATAAAAAAAAGCCATTTACATTTTACAATGAGCCATTACC